CCTGCCTCGGGGGTGCCGCCTCATTATCCTTATCTTTCCGTTTGAATTTGGATTCCAACGTGGGTCTGTTAGTATAGAGAGGGCCATGAAACAAACGTTGCAACACATATTCTGCGTATCTGTGCATACGCGGCCTGGCAAACCGGGGCGGCATCATCGCGACGCCAAGGGGCGTCGCGGACTCGAGCCTTTGGCCTTGAAGCACGAAGCGCACGATTACCCATCTCATGAAGTTCTGCAACCAGTCACTGTGTTCTGGGGGTGCATTGACACGCAAAAACACTGTTCAACGAATCGTTAGCTGGCGCCCGCCTCGAACTCATGCCCCACCCCCCGCCTCTTCCAAATATCCCTTCGCTGTGGCCCCACCCTCCCCATGCCCCTCCGAATGCCCCGGTCCTCATCATGCGTCCTTCATCCACATTGCCCCCCCCCCCCATGCACCAATTCACGTCGTTCCTCGTCGTCCTCCTGCGCCAGATTTGTTCCCCCATCGCCCGCGTGCCTGCCCTCCTCCCATCCTCTACGCCCTAGTGCACATCATGCCCCTAACTTCTGCCCCCCGCCCACCTCCCTCGCCCTCGTGATGCTGGCACCGATGGTGCAGATCCGCCTGGGCTCATTTCCTCCGCTCTCGCCCAGTCCCGTTCATCCTTGGCCCCTCGGCCACCCCTCCTATCGAACCGCCTCCCCACAGCCCACAACCCCCACCCCTCCGCGCCTTTGCGCGCCCAGACAACGGCCCCCTCCTGGGCCAGCCGGGAGACCCGCGGAACCCCCCGCCCACAGACCACTCCAGCGAACGGCGCGCAACACATGCACAGTTGGAGACACGCATTGCGCCCCCCTGTACCAGCCGGAAGAGATACGCGAAAGTTCCCGCCCATTCAACACCACCCACGAGGGACACACTCCAAATGCACAGATGGGAACGAGATCTGCGCACACAGATCACACCACGATCTGTGCAAACAGCGGGCCCACACACGAAAATACACAGTTGAAGACACAAGCTGTGTACACAGATCACACCTTGATCTGTGCATTTCGAAAAGGCAAGCGCTCGCCACCTCGAGGGCGCCCCGACTTTGCCAGCCCAGAACCGAGGTTGACGCGCCCAGCTGGGGAGGAATGCAAATGCGCACTTCCCCGGCCCAGGGCGCCCCCGAGAGAAACGCAAATGCACGCTTCCCTGGCCCAGGGCGGCCGCGGTGCAACGCGGCGCCAAGGCGGCCCCCAACGGCCCGAAGACGCCCCATAAGGCCGCGAAGGACCCCGAGGAACAAAAAAAAAAAAAAAAAAAAAAAAAAAAAAAAAAAAAAACTAGAGATGCCGCGTGTCATGGACCTCTTAACAGTCAAAGCTCCACGCGTCGCCACATAGACCACTGCTCTGGCGAGGGGGCGGGCCTTGCCGCAGGCGCCTATAATTTGCACGTTAGCGATGCGACTGTGCTCGGCGGCCGTGCCGCCCGCATTTTGGGTGCGCCCCGAACTCTCGCATAGGCAATCCCCTCTGTCTGGTTGCGCCGCTGTGCTCGGATATCGGAAAAGCATTCACCGCCGACGCGGGCACGCGGCGCCAGGGACTTCACTTCTCGAACAAGGAGGGCGGGCGAGGTAGGACGACGGACGGTGGAGCAGGGAGGCAAAGAGGAACGAGGAATAACAAGGGTGGTGGGAAGGGGCGCCCCCCCGCCCGAGCCGCGGGCGCTTTCGACGCCATCCAGAGGAGGGAAGACAAGAAAGGGAGCGGAGCAAGGGCGAGGACGACGACGGGGAGCAAAGTGTCCCGGGTCCGCACGCAGCCACGCGTCTGCGATTCGGGCGCGCGCGCTTTCTTCGAGGCATTTCAAGCCGGACCCATGCTAAATTCACGAATTCTTCAAAACTGTGTAAACACTCTGTCCTCTGTTCCCTCTCCTATACAACGGCCCCATAACAGAGGGGCAGTGGATTCCAAGTTGGAATGCGCCTGGCAAGCCCGCCGGCGCCGGAAGCGCGCATCTAGCCGCGCCGGCGCAAGCTGCCCCCGATTTGGAATTTGCCTGGGTGGCAGCCGCCTCGGCCCTTTCCTCGCGCATCTCCTGGAATTCCACCTTGCGTTGAACGCGCATCCTGGCGCTTTCCCCTTCCGCGCTGCATTGCCTGCGCGAGCTTTCCCATGGCCCCCCCATGATCGGCCCTCGCGGCTTCTTCAAACTCAGCCCCCTTCGACTCAACGCTCTCGGCCCGGCAACCATCGCTTCCCGAGGCGCGGCCCCAGGCGCGAGCGGGCCGAAGCGAGAGGTCGCGCGAGGCCGCCCTCGGCGCGCGCGCACCGGCACTTTGTTCCTGGAGTTTCTTCATTGTCTAACGTTCTTCGCTTTCTTGCCACAAAAATCCCTTTCGGATTCGTTCTTCCGAGCTGCCGAGCCCTTTCCGCGGCAACGCGCGCGCGTCTCTCCAGCCCGCGCGAGGTGGTCGCCACGCGCGCCTTCAGCGCACAGTGGGCAATCGCGGGTAGCCACAGTGGAACGCAGATAACGCCGCAGACCTCCCGTATGAAGATTCCGACCCGAGTTCCCCCGTGCGGCTGGTCGCCCGGCAACGGTCGGCGCCGACGAACGCTTCAGAATCCGCAGCCGCGCTCGCCTGGGTCGCCGACACGGCGCCTGGCGATGTCGCCGAAGAGGCTCCGATGGGATGCCGCTGAGTCTGGCGCTGATCAAGCTTGCGACACAGACTGCCCCGCCCTGCTTCCCGCCTCATCACCGCGCGGGCAGCCTCCAACTCCGCCGATTGAGTCTGCGCCTCGGCTTTCTCCTCAGCGATCACCTCAACTCGTCGCATTTCCTCGCGAGCGCGCAGCATCTCGGCCTTGGAACGAGCGCGGCTCCCATCCGCGACGAGTCGTTTCGTCTGTCTGCTGAATAGCAGCGGCAGCCTCTGCACTCCTTCGCGGCTCGTGACAAATTCGCCCGCTGAGCTTCACCGGGCCCCCGGGCGGCGCGCCTCGCCTTCTCTGCGAGATGCTTCTCCTGGAGATGGGCTTGGCGCTCGGAGGCCGCGGCGTGCTCTAGCCTATCGGCGAGCTCCCTCATTTCCTTTGTCGGGGCACAAGCCGCTGAACTGCCGTCGCCGCCTGTTGGCGCTCTCCCAGGCATCGCGAGGCGCTCGCCGTGGCCCCCCGGTCTCGCCCCAACTGTCTCTCGGCGCCCCTCTCGCGGGAAGAACGGGCGCGCGAATCAAGCGCCCCAGCGTCGAGGTCCACCGCGGGGGCCCCAGAGCAGCCCCCCGGCTATCTCCCTGGGGCGGACGCAGGGCGGTGCCCCGGGACGTCGCCAGATCTACTTCGTTTCCCGAGTGGCGAGGTCATCGAAAGACTAATAGGCTCTCAAGTCTACGCCTGCTCGTCGTCCATGCGGAGACACCCAAGAATTCCTCATCTATGATATCCTCCACATTCCGTTCCAGAGGATCAGCAGATGGCATCGCGGCATCTCCGCCGCGCGTGAACGGCACCTGCGCAAGGGGGTTGTTGGAGATCACCCACTGGATCGGGAGACTCTCGGTCATGGGCCTCGTCTCCCCCATCGTATGGCCCCTGATCATCATGGAAACCATTTGGCTTGGGCATTGACCTGCGTGAGAAATTCACCCGGTGAAATGGCCTCCACATCGTGGTCGCCGTCCGAGAGGCGCTTGGAAGCATCCGCCTGGTCGTAAAGCGGGGCTCAAGGCCCCCTTCATCATATCCGTCTCGGTCGTATCGAGTGGCGCCCTTGATCTTCGGAACACCAGGACGAGGCTCGTTATCGAACGAGAGATTCCAGCTGATCTTGGTAAATGAACGTTGGACTCATTTCCCGACATAGTCACAAGAAACGTGCTCGGGAACATCCACGCGCAAGCCATGGCGTGATCCTTTCGTTAGGACGTACATCATCTTTGGATGGGTGGAACATAGTTCCCTCATCTGGTCCAACCACTTTCGTCGAAGACAGGGATTTCAGCTGATAGCCCGTATTTTGCACAGTCGTTGTTTAAATTATCTCTTTCTTGACCATGTAGATAAGCCAACTATGATCATGCTCGTCTCGTAGTTATCCATCCGAATCTTCTTCAGGAAGCAGTCTCTTACCCTGGTTAATTTCCAACGTAGGCGATGTATCCCTCGATGCCATGGCCCAACGATTGTGGTAGTGTGTTCGTTAAACTTGGGCTAACAACGCAATAAAAGAGGGGCGGTAGGCAACGGAGAGCGCCCGGGAGGGCGCGCGCGCCAGGCGGGCGGGCCGCGATCCTTTTTATGTGGGCCAACCCACAACAGTTGCGTCGAGACTGTAGGTCAGAAGTGGGCACGGGGGGATGATTAAATCAACTCCCCCCTTGTCCCAAGAGTCATCGTGAATTGGGGTCGGGGCTTTTGTGGAACGGAACCCTCTTTACCGAACGGAGGATTCGTAGAACGGGCCCGTTTGTGCATGGGCCAGGGGCCTTCGTAAAACGGGCCCCTCATGGAAGTTTTTGTGGAACGAGGCCCTTTTTGTGGGGCCTGTGGAACGGGCCCTCGTTGTGGAACGGGGCCTGTGGAAAGAGCCAAATTGTGAAATGAATGGCCGTTGTGGAACGAGGCCCTCTGTGGAACGGGCGCAGGTCCGCACAGGTCTGCGCAGATCTCCTGCCGCAATGGCAAATCCGTTCAGAATCGGTCCCCGAACCCCTGTCTCTCCCCCCCCCCTTCCTGCCATCCCTTTTCCTGCCCGCCGGACCCGGCGGAACCGGTGCTTGGGCCACTTCGGCACCACTCGGGCGCACGCTAACATGGATTAGGGATCTGCGGATCTGGCGTGTGGTCGCCAGATTCGTGGATCGGGGAAGGCAACACCGAAACATGGCGCCGATGCCGCCCGATTTGGTGGCGGAGCGCGCCAATTCAGTATGGAAGCGGACACCGTCGCTAATCCACGCGCCTGAATCCATGCTTGCGCTTCCTCGACCCACATCCGGCTCCAAGGCTGGGACCCCTGCAGCGCGCCAAGCGCGGCCCCGAAGCCGACGGCGTCGGGGCGGAGCCGGGCGCCGCGAGCGCGCTCGAGGCACCAGAGCGCGCCCGCCCAGTGGGCGCCCCGCTGGCAGGCGCCCGCGGCAACGTTGCAGGCGGCGGCGTCTGGCCGCACCCGGAGGCTTTCCAGGCGCGGCCCGAGCAGCTCCAGCGCCAGCGGCCACGCCGTGCCCCGGCCGCAGGCGTCGGCGGCGGCGCTCAGCGCCTTGTGAGACGAAGCCAAAACAGATACTTAAGTCTGACCACAATAGCTCGGCGGCTCTAGACGATTTATCGGGCGCCGAAGCCGTTCAAGAGAGCTGCGAAACGCTCGGACAGCGTCTAGAACGCTCCCAGAGCGATTTATCCGTCCTAGCCCCGCCTGACCTTCAGGTCCGGCGACCGCAGTCTGTCGAAACCGCCATCGGCCGCAGCTCGTTGCGGCCGACCCCAGGCGCGGGAGGACGAACGGCGGCGGAAACAACGGCGACGGCGGAAAGCGGCGCCGACGGCGGCGGCGGCGCCAGCGGCGACGACGGCGGATGGGCGGTGGAGACGGCGATTTTTGTCCGTCCTCTCCTTCCTCCTGCGGCTACGACAGAGGATGGGTGACGGCGACGGCGACTCACTCCTCCTTTTCCTCCTCCTCCTCCTCCTCCTCCTCCTCCTCCTCCTCCACCTCCTCCTTTCCTCCTTCTCCCCCTCCTCTCATGAAAACAACACCCCCTTGTCGCACCCCAATCCGGCCAGAAGGGCGGGCTGGGCGTTCCGCCTTAGACTTCCGTGCCACTTACGAACCTGCAATTTATGTGGCCACTGGCAACTGGCAGCAGTTTCACACATGGAGGGCGGGTGGTTTGCAAAATGTGGGTCTCGCTGTAGCGCCGCGCGCTTTCACTTCAAACATTTGCAACAGCTTCAAGGATTGAAGGCGGGTGGCATTCAAAATGTGGTTATCGCCTTTGCGCCGCGAGCATTTGATGTACCAAACTGCAGGGGTTTTGCGGATTGAGGGAGGATGGTTTTCAAAATGTGGCTCTCGCTTAAATGCCACGCACATTCGTTTTAAACATGTGCAAACACTTCACGGATCGAGGGCGGTTCCGTTTTCACTGCTGTTTTCGCCCAAACTCCGCGCACATTCGTTTTCAACGTATGCCAAAGACTTGCGGATTCGAAAGGTTTGCCGTGCTCTAGCGAATCAAGACTGTCGAGGCGCAGCACTTACAGTGATTCTCGGTGTTGAATCCCAAAAGTGATGTTCCAGCTCGCCAAGACGCAACAGGTCAGGTTGACCCATGGCGTCGAAGTCCAAACAATGGTGCTTTGGCACGTTTCATAATTGTCGCACGGTTGTCTCTATACGAGGCTCGTCCCTAAGTGGAGATGGGCCCTTGTATGGGGCATATGAAGATAGAGCTCGGAAAAAGTGTGTCCCAACACTGGTGATGTGCCCTGGGTCTACGCTGGTCATCCTCCTCCTCGTCCTCCTCTGCCTCCTCCTGTTTTCCTCCTCTTCCTCTCATGTTCCTCCTCCTCCTTTTCCTGCTCCTTTTCCTCCTCCTCCTCCTCCGCCCATTTCTTCCTCACCCCATCCACCATTCCCTCGGGGCCGCGGAGCCGCCGCCGAAGGCGCACCCCACAGTTCCACCGACCACGCCCACTCGGACGCGTGGCCTCGGAGCGCGCGACGCGCGACGGGCGCCACCACGTGCGACTGCGCAACGGCGATCGGCGGCGACCCGGCGGCGATTCACACCGCTGGGCGGCTGGGAGGGGGAGCGGGGGGGGGAGTGGGAAGAGGAGGAGGAGGAGGAGGAGGAGGAGGAGGAGGAGGAGGACGAGGAGGAGGAGGAGGCGGGAGAGGAGGAGGAGGAGGCGGGAGAGGAGGAGGAGGGGAAGAAGGAAAAGGAGGAGGAGGAGGATGAAAAGGGAGGTGGAGGAGGAGGAGGAGGAGGAGGAGCAGGAGGAGGAGCAGGAGGAGAAGGAGGAGGAGGAGGAGGGAAGGAGGAGGATCCTGGCAACGGCTAGACAGATGCACCATTTTGACATGTTCACAACCCGAACCCCAGAGGAGTTAGGATCCAAAACATCGTGGGTCGGCGCGAGCTGCCGACGGCGCCCCCGCGCCCGAGCCCAACGAGAACCAGACCCACCCCGAGAATTACAACCGAACCGCTCAAGGCCACGCTGAAAGTCGAACCTGGTCCCAACCCAGCACATCCCACACACGCCCTTCGCTTCTGCCCATCCCTTAGCCACCATCCGTTGGCACTAGCCACAGGCGCCGCGAACCCTGTAAACCTCCCCAAAATCGGCTGCGCTACTACGGCCACTAGTTTCGTGTCAGAGCACCAACCCGCACCGCCAGGAAGTGATGCGGCGCGTGCCCCCCCCCTCCGAAACGTATAATGGTGGGCAAGAAGATCGTCGCGGCCCGCGACCGTAATGCGATCCCCAGACGATTTTGACATGACACGTCGGTCCTTGGATGGCCCTACGACCCTCGCGCGACAACAGGATGACCCCGCGACAATAACATGATTCACTGCGCGACGCCGCGACGGCTCCAAGACGACCCTAACGAGACCCCATGATGACTGCATCGCGATTTCGTGGGCCTGGACCGAATACGATCCCCAAGCGAAGCCATCACTCCAAGATGCTCCCAAAATGGCCCAACGACCCCCCACATGCCCATAATAAGGCCCCCATCTCGCCGTTGGGCGGAGCCGCCGAAGCCAGATTGCTGGGCGACCCCTCGATCATCTGCCAAAAGCACCGCAGATATGACCCGTCACACGCGCGAGCTGTGATGCGTTGGCTTGGCACGCCACGCTGTAGTGTTGCAAGGTCCTGGTCGGCGGCGCGTCGGACACTCCGGCCGCGCGCAAGAGGAGGAAGCTGCGACCCGAACGGCCGATCATGACTTGACCAGCTTGCCAGGCGCGGTTGCAGAGGATGTCACAACGTGTGAGGAGGTAGTCCACGCGCTCCTGCGGCAATCAATCGAAGCCTATAAGCGCCGACACTGCCGAGGCGCGCCCCCCCCCCGCCAGTTGGCCCCGCTGTTCGGCCAAACTGCGCATTCGGAAAGTCATCGGCGGAGCTGGGTCGCCGTTGATGGCACCCCCAGCACCGGGGCAGCTGGCGGCGACTCCTCAGCGCATTCTCGGGTAGGCCGCCTTGCGAAACTCGCAGAGGTCCGAGACCGCCACTGACCACGTCACCACCTCCCGCGCCGATCGTTTGAAGGGGGCCCGAGCTTAATCGCTGCTCGGGCCCCAAGATGCGGAGATGCCGCATGCCGCCGTGGCCGCCGTCTGAACCCACGCGGGCGAGGCAACTGGTCAGGGCGAGCACTGTTCATACAGGTCGTCCACCAGGCTCATGTAGTAAAGCCCGCCGTCCGGAGACTCCTCCAGCTGGACCGGGATCCCCGGGGCCAGCTTCACGAACACCGCGACTCCGGTGTCGCAGTCGGTGACAGCTCCCAGCTTGGACACGAGGATCGGGACGTCCTTCGCGAAACCGTTGATGGCGATGTCGCCCTCCATGCCCCTGCCGGTGATGCCGAACTTCACCTGGCCGTAGTGCAGCCGATGGGGCTTTCGTTGAGCCCCCATGGGGCCCCGAAACTTTCTCCTGGGCGCGGGGGGCGCATGGTGGAGGAGGGAGGACGGAGGAGGGGGACAAGGAGGAAAGGAGGAAGGAGCGCCGGGCACTGTCTCCTCAAAACGAGGGCCTAACACCACAGGATGGTTGGGAGAAACGAACGCGCACATTCGCATAACGAGACCCTATGCCCACTGCGGCCGCGAACGTTCTTCGGGGCGTGATCCACTCAGAGCAACCGCTCCGCTTTCGCATGCGCACAGTAAGACACCACTTCAGCACTCTTCTTGAGCGCTCGCTCTGGCAGAGAGTTCACCAGGGCACCGATCAGTGGCCCATGGCATCTAGAATGCCGCGCCCACCTTCGCCTCACCAGCGTCAGAAGCGCGGTTCATCTTGCTTGCAGGCCCCGCAGGGCTCTGGTCTTGCTGGCGAGTCGGTCTTTGGGCTATTCCCCAGAAAGGGCCGACTTGGCCGCTGGCAGCGATTCAATGGTTTGATGTCACGAAGCGTCTGTGCCGCAATATGGTACAATGGTGCGCGGTTGCGCAAGGACGTTTCGTGGCTCTGTAGGGGTCTCCGCCGAAGGCCCCAGTGGCTGCACTCGCATGCGGTCCCCCCGCCCAGGGCAGCGCTACGCGGTTTCATCGGGAGCTCCACCGAAGGCCCCAGTGGCTGCACTCGCATGCGGCTCCCCTTCTCAGGACAGCGCTTCGTGGCCTCATCGGGAGCTCCACCGAAGGCCCCAGTGGCTGCACTCGCATGTGGGTCCCCCACCGGGGACAGCGTTTCGTGGTCCCATACGGAGTTTCTTACTCATCCTACTGCCCCTCCTCTTCCTGCTCCTCCTCCCCCCCTGCTCCTCCTCCATCCTCGTTTGTGCCACCCTCCCTCTCGCGCCCTCTCCTCCCCGTGGCCGTGACGGGATTGCAGGCGGCGCACATCATGTTTTTTCCGTACAGGAAACTTGGAAAATTAGCCTGGCAATGGATCCAACCATATGCAGGTGTGGGTTCCGCAATGTTGAATCTCTTCTTCGATGGAGCTCCCCATGGCTCCACGAAACGCTGTCCTGGGTGGGAAAACCGTATGCGAGTGCAGCCATTGGGGCCCTCGGTGGACCTCTCGATTGAGCCGAGAAACGCGGTACTGGGCAGGAGAACCGCATGCGAATGCAGCCACCAGGGTTTTCGGTGGAGCTCCCGGCCACGAAAGGCTGTCCTGGGCGGAGGATCCGCATGCGAGTGCAGCCACTGGAGCCTCCGGTGGAGCTCCCTACGGGGCCACGAAACGCTGTCCAGGGTGGGGGGACCGTATGCGAGTGCAGCCACTGGGGCCTTCGGTGGGGCATCCGATAGGGACACAAAGCGCTGTCCTGGGTTGGGGAACTGCATGCGCGTGCAGCCGCTGGGGCCTTCGGCGGAGAAACGCAAGCGGTCAGCAGGGGGGAGCAGGAAGAGGAGAATAGAAGAAGCTAGCTGGGGTGGTTAATTAATGAGGAGTGAGGAGGAGCATGAGGAGCACGATGAGATCCGCCCGATGAATTGGAATAGCAGGCAGGAAAATCTGAACTGGCTTGGGACTGCGCGGCATTCCCAACAAGACATTTTGAGAGGGGAACGGGGACCCAACACGTCGGCGTATACTATGGAACTCTCGTTTTGAGGCGAATTGAGAAACATTGAGACTCATTGAGAGAAATTGAGATCGTTTGAGATAAATTGAAATATAATTCTCCGTTCAAACCGTGGATTAAGAGAAATTGAAACGAGAAAGGCGGTCAAGTTGAGGACAATTGAAAACGGTTGCGGTGTCCAATGGAAGTTTTTCGCAAGGGTTTGACGGCAATGCGATTTGGGAGCATGAGGAAAGCAGCAGAAGGATGGGCGGCAGGAGAAGCAGACGGCGAGGACCCGATGGCATCGACCATGGCAACTGGAGCCAAAATATATTTCCCAAACGAGGGCAAACGGTGGAGGATGCAAAGGGCTGTCTGGCAGGGTTTCTGCAAGTCTTCTCAGGGGCTGCCGCCGCCCCTTTCGCCGCAGAGCGCCGCATGCATCGGGCCCCGCTTACCCAGCGAAGAGCAACACATGTTCACCGTGGAAGTACATCAGGTCCACGCTCTCGCGGCAACGATTCCTCGCAAATTTGCCTGGAGATGGCCCTCACCATATGCAAATGTGGGTTCCGCAATTATGAATACTTCATCTTCAATGGATCTCCACACGGGTCCACGAAGCGCTGTCCTGGGTGTGGGAACCGCATGCGAGTGCAGCCACTGGGGCCCTCGGTGGAGCTCCCGATCGAGCCGAGAAACGCGGCCCTGGGCAGGGGAACCGCATACGAGTGCAGCCATTGGGGCCTCCGGTGGAGCTCCCTACGCGGCCATGACGCTGTCCTGGGTGGGGGGTACCGCATCCGAGTACAACCACCAGGGCCTTCGGTGGAATCCCCGTTTGAACCGAAAAACTTGGTCGTGGTTGGGGGGACCGCATGCGAGTGCAGCCACTTGGCCTTCGATGGAATTTCCGATTGAGCCGAAAAACGCGATCCTGGGCGGAGGGAGCCGCGTGCGAGTGCAGCCACTGGGGCCTCGTCGGAGCTCCCGACGGGGCTACGAAGCGCTGTCGTGGGCGGAGGGAGCAGCACGCATGTCGGGCCACATGGGCCTTCGGCGGAACTCCGGATGAGGCCACGAAGCGCTGGCGTGAGTGCAAGAAGCGCATGCGAGTGCAGCAACAGGGGCCTTTTGCGGGGCTCCCCACGGGGCCACGAAGCGCCTTCCTGGGTCGGAGGTCCGCATGCTAGAGCAGCCGCCGGAACCGTCGGTGGAGCCCATATATGGGGCCACGTAGCGCTGTCCTGGGTGGTAGAACCGTATGCGAATGCAGCCACCGAGGCCTTCGGTGGGACGCCCCATGGGGCCACGAAGTGCGGACGTGGGTGGGGACGCCTGGGGACGCGCCTGCGAATGCAGCCGCCGGGGCCTTCTGTGGAGTTCCCGACGGGGCCGCGACATGCGATCGTGGGCGGAGGGGATCGCATGCGAGTGCAGCCGCTCGGGTTCTAGGTGGAGCTCTTTTTCGGGCTACGAAACGCCCGCCTGAGAGGGGGAACCCCATGCTACTGCAGCCGGTGGGGCTCTCGGTAGCAACCCCAATGGCGCCGCGAAGCGCAGTCCTAGGCGGGGGAGCCGCAGGCGAGTGCAACCGCTGGGGCCTTCGGCGGAGCTCCCTACAGAACCCTAAAGTGGGGAAGGAAAAAGGGGGCGAGGAGGTGAGGAGGAAGGAACGCGGAAGACTCTCTTCGAAACGAGGACCTAACACCACGAAATGGTTGAGAGAGGTGACGCTGGCGAAGAACAGATTGGGGGATGCCCCCCCAGAGCCGCTAACAAACTCGGGCATTCCAGAAACATGTTCCCTTTTACCCAAGGCAAAGAAGATATTGATCCCGCGGGTCCCGTTCCAAAACGTACAATCGCAATGGCGTGTCCCGATCCAAAGGGACATCGAGCCGTGTTCAAACTGCTGCACGGGCGACACTTCTGGGGAAAATTTCACACGCGCAGGCCGCCTTCCGAGAAACAAAAACGATTTCGCACCAGCAAACGTGCTCAACTTTCGCCTCCCCGTTGACGCCACCCCCAAGTGGAGCTGAAGGAAGCACGCCAATGTCGACGGTATCCCATCCGGACTGGAGGCCCCTCCGCAGGTCAAGGAGGCGCTGGAGGCCGGGGGGCCGCCGACGGCGTTGCTTTGACCATGAGCATTGGACCTGCCCCGGACGTACCCCTCTTCGACAGCGCAGTGGACGTCGTCTTGTGTCGCGTCGTTGTGGCTGTCACCGCGCTCGGGGCAGTCCGCAACGCATCTGCGGACGTGCCCTTCATGCATCGCGTCGTTGTGATGTCCGCTGCTCTTAGGACACTCCGCAACGCAATTGTGGACACGCCCCTCGTTCGCCGCGTCGTCGCGGCACTAAGCACCACCAACTGCACGATAGTCCAGAGAAGCGCGCAAAAGGGATCTCGCCCTGCAGACCTGAAGGGCGCCACGAGAAAAACGACATATAGTCCCAGACCTGCTTCATCACCCCTTGGAGCGTTGACAACGTAGTCGCCAGACACTCCACTGAAGTCCCACTCTGATCCGAACTCTTAGTCGCCTGCATTTCCTAAGACCCCCGCAACGAAGTTGCGAGGAACTCACGGCCATGCGGCTCCGACGGCGTTTCCAAAAAGGCGTTACTTTCTGTTTGGCGATGACGGGCGTCATGGGGGGGGAGGGCGGAGGGGGTATGACAATACGCCCCCCCCCGCCGTGTGGCTCCGGCACCAACAGCCGCGCCCGTGCGCACGACGCGACGAGCGACGAGTGACGAGCGACGGCGACGACGCGAGCAGCATGTAAGTGGCGATCTGCCCATTGCGCTTGTGTACACCACAACGCTCGCGTGCACCACAGCGCCTGCGTACACCGCAACAACCGCGTGCAACGCACAGCCCGTGTATACCACAATACTTGGGAGCACTACAGCGCCGGTGCACATACACCGCAGCAGCCATGTGCAACACAACGCCTGTGTACACCACAGTGCTTGCGTGCACCGCAGCGCCTCTGCACGCCACAACGCCTGTCTACACCACAGCATCCGCGTGCAACGCAACGCTGGTGCACCCCACAGTGCCTGCGCGCATAGGACAGGTAGAAGGAGCATGTACGTCAGGGTTTTATGCGGACAACTAAACGCCACGCCAGGAAACTTCTGATAATCGAATGCGAAGTGTTTCCCTCCTCCCTCTCCTCCTCCTCCTCCTCCTCCTCGTCCTCCTCCTCCTCGTCCTCCTTTTCCTCTTTCTTACCCCCTGTCGCGCGGCTTGGCGTTACAACGCACGTGCGCATTTCAGCGCGCACCGCAGAATGGTCGATTGAATCGGTCCACTTGGTCCTCGGACGGCCAGTCTAGCTGAAGCCTCCTGGACGCAAGCGGGGGTTCAGGTGACGCGGGCGGACTCGGGGGGACTCGTAGATTCCAGCGGCGCTCCTTTGTCAAACTGATGCTGCGTTGCACGCGGCTGCTGTGGTGTACATCGGCGGCGTGGTGTACACAGGCGCTGTGGCGCACGCGGGCGCTGTGATGTACGCAGGCGTTGTGGTGCAGATTGCCACCTACATGTTCGTGCTACCCGTCCTCCGTCATTCCTAGCCATTCCCAAACGCCGCCGGCGCGAAAAGTGACGTCATCGACCCCCTCCCCCCCCAGACGATTGCCGTCATCGGCCCGGATTTAAAAACAGGCTCCAGCCGCGTCCGCGCGCACGACGACGATGGGCGACGAGCGACGAACCACGGGAGACGACGACGAACGACGACGACGACGACGACGACGACGACGCCTGCGGACCAGACACCTATGCGGATTCCTACGCGGACACCTACGCTGAACCCAGTGCGCACGGCGGCAGTACCCGGAGCGCACTGGGGGGGGGAGCGTTACGTCAAAGGGGGGGGGGGGAGCGGGGGCAATGACGCCCGTCATGCCCCAAGCCATAAATAAATGGCCTCCAACATAGTTGGAAATCACCCTGGGAGAGAAGCAAACCACGGCGGCGGATGAGTTCCGCCCTCCTCGAAGATCTTGACGGCGTATTTGCTCTGGCAGGTGTCCGCCTCGTCGCTCGTCTTAGCGACCACGAGGTAATTGAACACGGAGAGCAAAGATGCAAATGTTGCCGGACACGAAAAGGATGATGAGGGAAGCGGGCCGTGTCGGCAAAGGGTAATGGAAGGGCGCTGGAGCTCCGCTACCAACAATGAAAAGGGATGCGTTCTTCGCAGAGGCGAACACCACAGTAAAACACGCGTTTAACACAGGCACAATCAAATGCAACCTGCCGCATCCCCGGGCCAAAACGGCAATGGAAAAAAAAGGCGACTGGACAGGGCAACGGAATTAGGAACTATCAGTACGTTACCTCTCGCATGGAGGGGGAAGGAGGAGGAGGAGAGGGGGGAAAGACGAAGGAAAAGGAGGGGGGAGGAGGTGCAAGAGGAGGAAGAGGAGGAGGAGAAGGAAGAAGAGGAGGAAAAGGAAAACGAGGAGGATGAGGAGGAGGAGGAAGACGACGACGAGGGCGAAGCGCCTTCTGGAACGCCTCTCATGGGGAGGGCACGACCAGACCCCAGCACGGGCGAGGGGCGCCCCAGCTGCACAAGGCCCCGCCCCCCCCCCCACCGAGGCCGAGGGCGCGGCCGCAGGCGTCCACCGCGGAGCTGCGCGCGGCCAAAGAAGGCTGCAGGGCGGCACGGTCCATGCCAGCGAGAACCTGAGAGGGGGCGCCAGGTACGAGCCAGCCTCTTCCTTCTCATCATCATCATCATCATCATCATCATCATCATCAGCATCATCAGCATCATCATCATCATCATCATCATCATCATCATCATCATCATCATCATCATCATCATCATCATCATCATCATCATCATCAGCATCATCGTCATCATCATCTTCATCATCATCATCATCATCATCATCATCACCATCATCATCATCATCTTCATCTTCAGCATCAACAACATCATCCCGCCTCCCCCTCCTCCTCCCCTTCCTCTTCATCCACCTCCTTTTCCTCGTTTTCCTCCTCCTCTTCCTTCTCTCATCCATTATCCCTCTCCTTCCTCCCCCGTCCCTTCCGCTCCGACCAACGCATCGTTGGATTGGTCACTAAAGCTCCGACTACCCGAGTTCAGAGACAATCTCACAGAAGACTGGTCGACATTGAAGCTCAGAAGAGCCCGTAGAAGCCTCGAAAGACGGAATGAAGAGGTGTTCCGCCGCACTGCACCTAAGAACAAATACCCCAAATACATGTGTGCGCCGAAGGCATTACTATGTATACATATCAAGGGCGTGTTTCGTCCGCCACAGGCATTGAGACGGACCAATCGTCCTTGCCTGACGAGCCCTGTGCCTTCTATCAAGCGTCGAACCGCAGTTGGACCCTAATGACAAGCTGTCCAGGCCTGCGCCATGTTCGACCAACGACGCCGGAAAAGGGATGCCCGATTCGGACGACCCGGGCCGCGACCCACCTCCGCCGCGAGCAGGGGAGTTCAGGACTTTCCTGGAGAGGAGGCGGGGGAGGACGAGGAGGAGGAGGGGGGGAAGGAGGGGGATGGGGAGATCATGGCCTTCCTGGAGAAAGCCGAGGCTGAACTGGGGGAGACCCCCCTCCTCCCCCCGCCTTTCCCCCCTCCTGTGACTGCCTTTCCTCCTGAATTGAAACTGCGAACTCACAAGAAGATAAGGGAGGCCGTGGAACGCAGATGGCAACAAAAAAAATCTGCGCCTGGTCTCGGGTTGATGCCGGTCCCCCTTTTCGATCATGGCCCGTCCGAGTCAACATGGGGCCCGTTCGCCCAATAATCTGCTCAGCAGTCCGCGTGCTTCATCGTCCTCCCGAACCGGATACTGATACGGATACCGATATCGACATCGATACCGACACCACTACTTGCCGACGCCGATACTGACACCGATACCGAAGCGAACCGCCTCTTACCGATACCGATATCGACTCCGAAACCTCCTCCCCCCTCATGTTTTCCGCTTTGCCCCTTCTCCCTCCTCTTCCTCCTCCTCCTTTTCCTCCTCCTCCTCCTCCTCCTCCTCCTCCTCTTCCTCCTCCTCCTCCTCCTCCTCCTCCTCCTCCTCCTGTTCCTCCTCCTCCTCCTCCTCCTCCTCCTCCTCCTCCTCCTCCTCCTCCTCCTCTTCCTCCTCCCCCCATCAGTCAACGCACCCTTTCCGCACCACCATCCTTTAGCCATTGCTGCTCCTTTGCCCTGCGCGCGCTGCCCGATGCACTGACTGCTTCTGCTTCTGCAGCTATACCACTTGGCTCTAGGGAAGCGGAAAAGGAGCGAGCCTGCGGCGCGCGCGTGCGTCGGCCGGCAGACCGGCCTCCTCCCTTCAGTGTTACCCTATTGTATGCTTGACAGCAGTATCCCTTCTCCCCCATGGCATCGGCGGAGCCCACTGACCATGATAGATAATCGGAAGATCTTGCAAGGATTATGAATGCCCAGGTAAGAAATTGTTGATCAGCCGAAAATACGGCACAGCCGTTAGCTTCGCAACGCGTGGGATCACAAGAACGAGCGCTCGGACCTCCGAGCGTCTAGATCATTGTTTGAATGCGTGCTTGATGTTCCGCGTAGACTATGGACGTTCTGCTCGAACTGGCACCCTAGCCCGTCTAGGCGCGCAGTAAGATAGCCCAAGATTGCTCCGAGTGGGTATTCTCCAATGTGCCTCAAGGAATATATCCAAGATGGGACTACTTGTTTGGGCGCCTGCTCGGTTGGCTGAAGCTTCCCCCGCCCTCCAAGATGGCTCCAGAATGCAGTGTCACCTATCGGCCCTCGAACGGGTCAGCGGGTGGTCATGCTTTGCATTTCTTTCAGGTGCGAGCATGGCTGGCAGCCGATAGCTCCTGGAGCATTGCTCGCCATAGGGGCTACGAGCTCCGCTCCGCGATCCACGGAGCTTCGCGCCTGAAAAGAAGCCTAAGCGTAGATCGGGCGAATGGAAGACCTCTCGCCCCCCCCCCCCCCCCCCCCCCCAGAATCCCCCCAAATGCTCCAACCGAATCTTGCCGAGAGAGAGAGAAGAGAGATAGAGAGAGAGAGAGAGAGAGAGAGAGAGAGAGAGAGAGAGAGAGAGAGAGAGAGAGAGAAGAGAGAGAGAAGAGAGAAGAGAGAGAGAGAGAGAGAGAGAGAGAGAGAGAGAGAGAGAGAGAGAGAGAGAGAGAGAGAGAGAGAGAGAGAGAGAGAGAGAGAGAGAGAGAAAAGGGAAATCTCGAACCAGATTTCAAACCAGATCTTGCCGCGAGAGAATCTCCAAACGGATCTCCAATGCAATATTCCGAGACACGTCGGGGCCCAAGCAGAAACTCAAACGAAATCTTGCCACCGCTAAATCCCGAGCGAAATCTCAAACGACATCGCGCCGCTGCCACATCCCAAACAACTTCTCGAACGAAATCTCGCCCCTTCCCAATCCCCAACAAGATCTCAAACGAATTCCTGGGCGAACAGGAACTCAAGCGCAATCCCCCCCAGAACCTGCTGGCCACGCTTCGCGCCGCGTGCGGCGCGGTGGTAAAGCACAACTTCATGGTAGTCGAGCGCTTTGTCATCGGGGCAATGCTGATCGGAGCTGCGCGCGCCTTGGGAAGAAGCGCGCACTGCGGCGCGGACGGGCGTTCCCCGCCCCTCGATCGAGCGACTGCCTCGGCCGCGACGCTGGGCATCGAACCTGGAGATCGGCGCCGCACCGCCCGCCGACGGCCCTAATTCAGCAGGCGCACTGGCGCGCTTAGCGGCCACCGCGGGCACGGGCCTGCAGGCCGCTACGTTGCGGGGCTCGCAACCACCATTCCCTGGGCGAGCCGACTAAGGGCACCGCTTCCGGCGCGCGCGCGAGAATCGCCTGCGCCCGCGCATGGCCCAATCGGATTGGATTCGGCGGTGCATCTTGGGCGGAAGCGTCTCGGGGCGGGGGCGAACGGCCCAGGGCTCACAAGCATGCGCGTTATTTTTGGAACCAACTCTTGGAGGTAACAGCCCTAGCGGGCGCTGACAAAGTTGACCCCCCCCCCCCCCTGGCGCCGGAGCGGTCCCGCGACGTTTTTGTCTTGGGGGTGGATGCAATTGGGGCTGCGCGCGCGGTGACATGCCATGGGCCCCTTCTTCGCCCTCTTGCTTAGCTCCCCCCTCTCCTCATACTGCTTACTCCACGCCTCCGCGACCTCTGGCTTCTCCTCGGCAACCTCCGCGGGCACCTGAATGCTGAAAGCTCCCGGCACAGTCTGCCCGAGTCCCTGAGGTTGTTCTCCTGCTGCTGCCCCGGCGGCCCCTGCTGCCCCCCTGGGCCGGCGGTAACCTCGTTGGCCCCTCCGGGGCAGCTAAGGGCGACGTGCCCCTCACCGCCGCATTTAAAGCGTGATCGCTCGCTGTGGGGCGCAAGCCCTTGGCCTCATGTACCTCCTCCTTTAGCTCCTCCGTTGCCTCCTCCTGAATACCATCCACGGCAACCTCCGTTGCCGCCATTGCCTCCTCCTGCATTTCCCTGGTAATTTTCTTGACCTCCGCATCCTCCTTTGCCACGCTGGCCGCCTTGGTAACCTTTAATAGTTGCTGTTGTAGTTGTACTGGTAACCTCCGCATTGAAATCCTTTTACCGGTCTTTCCCCCCCCTTTGCCCCCCCCCTGACCCTTACCTTTGGCAACTCCTCTGTTCGGGCAGCCGCGGCCGACGTGGCCTCCAACTCACAGGAGGTCCGGCGTAGCGGTGTTCCACGGGGGCCGCAATGAGGCCTCGCCGCCCATGGCGGGCTGCGACCTGCTAAACTGTAGCCACACTTTCGTTCGCCCGGGGCGCCGAGCGGCGGGCGCCCTCAGGGCGCCGCCCTGACGCATCGCCGCCCCCGGCGGGCAGCGGCTTGAGAACAATCGCCCATGCCGTGGGCCCCTGGGGGGCCCAGCTGGGGGTGCCCCGCGCGCGCCAGCGTAGACGTCGCCGCCCTTGGGGCGCCGCTATCAACGCCGCCGCTTGTTGGGCCCCGAAAGAACTCAAACGAAGCGGCCCCCATCGGGTGGCCACCGCGAGACGGCGCCGCCCCCTGGGGGGCAAAAGAGACGGGGGCGCGGAGAAGCGCGCGGCCACGGGGCCCGCGGGCGGGCGGCGGCGCAAGCGCCGCGGCCGCCGCGCCTGGGCGCCCCAGCAACCCCAATAAGCAAGAAAGGTCCTGGCGGGGCTTTCGGCCTGTAGAACCCCCATGGAAGCGCGAGCCGGGCAGCGGCGCCCGCCGCTCGGGCAACGCAAATCGAAGCATTCGAAGCCGCGCCCGCCCTTCCCGCCCGCGGCCCGCGGCGCGACGGCCGCGCCAGGCCGCGAAAATTGTTGGCGGGGCCGCGGCGGCAGGGGGCCCCGCGGGCGCGCGCCGATGGCGGCCGCCTCGACATCGGCGCTTCAGCGCGCGCGGGCGCGCGCGCCGACTGCAACTGGCGGGCGCGCGCGCGCGAGAGCTGCGCGCGGCCATGGCGCGCGGGGGGGCGCCTCGCCAGGCCCGCGCCCCACCGCGCGCTGCCGCGCATTGGGCGACCCCTCCGCCTTTGCGCGCCGCGCCGCGGCGCGCGGCCATGCGGGCATCCATCGCGGAGGCATGGCGGCCGCGCGAAAACTTCCCAGCCATCTCGGGGGGCCGCGGCGGGCGCCCCTGCGCCGCGCCCCCCGCGGCCCCGGCCCGGGCGACCCTAACCT